TTAAAGACCCCACAAACCTCGATTGTATTTACTTTCATTTTAAATTTCATTTAAAAATGTTAATGATTTGGAAAAGACATGACATTTGTTTTTATATGTTATTGAAACAATAGTCAGAAAAAACAAACATGCTGTGACTTTATAATACGTTGGGAATAGGTGGTGCCTTTATGTCTGTGCTATAGCCGTGTTGTAGTTCCAATGATAATGTTTTTCTCACGTGATAAAATATTTGTCATATTTTAAATTTTTTTTTAAAAGTATGTTGTTTAAATAATCTTCAAAATATTACACCAACTTACGGGTACTCTTTTTTCTTGGTGCCTCCCTGTCTACTGTGGTACCTCAGCACATAGCTTAACTCTGAGATAAGCCTTACTTTTCTCATGCTTTTTTCTCCTGTGCTTTGGTACTTTGTCTGCAGGATGTAGGTTTTGAACTGAAGAGCACAGCGAAGTTTCTCGCTGTGCCTTTCCGGTTCCAGCACAATCCGAGTTTTGTGTTTGGAATTGTCCTTGACATTCTTTCATCCCACAATGGGGTGGAAGCAGTGTGCTGGAAACCATGACATCATTATCACTGACAGAGATTTTAAATAAATCACCTGCGTTCTTCACAGCCTCTCTTCTGCTTCTTCAAGGATTCTTCAAGAAATAACAAAAAAGAGGACTTCTTGTTTTCACTGCATTCTATTCCAAGGGTAACCGGCAATAAAATAGGAATGTTTTCAAAATAAACAGAATCGATGACATTAAGTAAACAGGCTGAATTATGGAGGATGAAAAGTATTCTGGCCTCCTTCTGGGTTTCTATAGAAACGTAAACATTTCTCCTGAGTAGGTGAATACCTCTTCTCCTCCAAACCTTTTACAGCTTGTTTGTCTAAGCTCTGCTTCAGCAGGTAAAGATAGCATTAATCTCTTTTGAAGTTGCAGATTATAGAAACACATTGTATCACTATATATTTAGTATAGTAATATTGTAAGTGCACATCAGTTAAGATTACACAAAAGCAGCAACCTATACAGTATACTGTGTTTTAAAGTAAAAAAAAGTTTAGATCCGTGTCTGGATTTTCAGTAGTCCCCTAATGTAAAATAAGGGTTAGTGGTCTTAGCCTACCTCCTGGTGGAAGGATTTTCACACCTACTGCCCACAATAAGCAGAAACAGGATATTTTTGAGAGAAGAAGAATTGAAACAAATGTGACTGGGTTATGACAGCATATTGACCAGCTAAACTGAGTGATCATTTTCTCGGATGTTTTACTCCAAATGGGAATATAAAAACATCTTCAAATAAAGTTGCTAAAGTTAAGAAGCCTGGAAATATTTTTTCTAGATTTTCTAGATAGAGTGTGGTACCTGAAACTCATGGAAGCTATTCCTGATTCTCAGAGCCCCTTAATGCCAACACAGCATAACAGCTCTGATGAAGGACCAGTTCCACTGCCTCAAGTCCAGTGTGCTCATTTTTCTCAGTGAGGATAAGTTTTGTAGTCTCAGTATGAGAAAAGGGAAAATGACCTCCAAGTTTAACTCGTGAGTAGCTGCATGGAAAGTGAAAGTCCTATAACTTGCTTTCATTCTGTGCTGCTGCTGCTGGCTTTACAGAAAGTAGTTATTTAATCTATTCAGTCCTTTGTTTATTTGTTGTGCAGGTAAACAGACAAATGTTTGCTTCTTTTGAAGAGGTGGAGGAGTCTTCATAGATAAAGTACTCCTGAAAAAATTAAACAAGCACAGTTATCAAGTACAGCTTTACCAACTTAGCAAACTATAAGGCACAAATAAACTAGTGGATCAGAATTAATTGATGAATGCAGGAAAAGCAGAATTTCACAGTTCTCGTGTCTCAGAAATTTAGAAAACGAGTCCCCCACAAAGCAGTTTTTGTTTATTTTTAGAATGCGTCTTCTGTTAATGAGGTTTTGGGGGACGAGTTGACACTACTGTTTTCACTTACTTTGTTGCTGTGTGTTGCTGGAAAGGCAACAAATCCTCAGTTACTTTAACATATCAATGAGGAAGGAAGTGCAACAGCTTGAGCACTACCAGTATTATGCAAAAAAAGGCGTCCGTGTTGCTGTTTCCCCCTAGTCACTGGGTCTGTGTGCCCTCAGATGGAAAGCTTATGATACTTGTGACTCCAGACTGCCAGAAATCACATGAGAAGAGCAAGGAGGAACAAGAACAATAGCTATATTTATAACTAACCACTGTCTTCTCGGAAATACCTTGATTTAATTTCTAAAGACACGGTGGAAGATGTTTTAGGGAAGAACCATTTAAATTGATTGTCTGTTTAAGACAACAATGTTCTCCTTTCAAAAAAGGCTTATACCATTTTTGAAATACCAAGCCTGGAATCTTATTTTTTAAACATTCTGTCTAGGGTCTATGAACACCTTTAAGGGCTGTGCTGTATTTTGTAAGAGCAAGACGTGTATCATGGATAGTATTTGAAAGTGAATATTATCTCTCACAAATAATTCTGCTTTACATGTAGATAAAGTTTGAGTTAGAAGTAAAAGAACATTCTGTCACTCTTTTTGAGCTAATCAGGAGGGGCATAGTTTCTTTGACTAGAGAAACAGGCATACAAAGGTGTTTCTTTATGCATCTGAAAAGTGTTCCTTGTAAGATATAGATGCATGCATAAGAACAACAAACAAGAGGGTCCTTTTGGTTCAATCTAGCTTGTTTGGTTTTTGGTAGCGAAATTGATTTGAGGATTTCATCCAGTCATTAGTTATGCTCCAGAGTTAGCTATGCCCTCCTGATAAGCCTCAATAAGGGCAAAACAGCTGTTTATGGCTGTTCACTTTGATTTTATTTACGCAAAAGTATAAGTCTGTTTAGATGGTTCTGCTTTTCAGTATTGTGAAATGGTGAGAACTAATTAGAATGTACATTCCCATAATTCATTGCAGCTGCTAACTGTTAAAATACATGATAGCTGTTCACAAAGTCTGTTTCTCAGTTCATCTACAGGCTATTGTGAATCCTTCTGTTTTACCTGCTTATCTTTCTGACATGCTTGCAACACAAAACATTCCTGCTTTGATCACGTGTTTTATGCTGATTAGCAATATAAAGACGTCAAGGTCAGGAGACTGGATCCTGTCCTCAGAATCTAAATTCCTCAGTGTTTTAATGGATTCCTGCATCACGTGAATGACTGGCATGGATGTGTTTGTAAGATTTATCCCAGTCTGATCACTCTGGTGGACAGTTCGTTCTTGACCTCACTGTTCTGACTGGAGACTCCAGTTCCCCAGTGCTACAGGATGTTTTGATTCACAATTGTTTTTAATGCTTAAGGTAAATAAGTCCCAGTCTGGCTTAGAAGATAGTACTCATTCAGAGTCCTAAGCAAAGCCAGCACAGACTGGAGCACAGCAGTCCTTTTATTTCCTTGTACCTTCCTCTGAAGGCTTCATTGTAAGTGAGGTTTGCATGGTACCATCCAGCGCTGACTGTTTTTACTTCTTTCTGTTCTGCTCTCAGATGAAATGAAGGATGAGTATGACACTATGGGGCCTGAAGCCACTCTTCAAACAGCTGCAAATGGTACAGGTGAGTTGATTACCGAGTTAAAAGATTTGCCGAACGATGTCAAGTCCAGTATTTTTTACATAAGGTCGGTGTACCTGCCACTTCTAATTAGGGAAAACAATGCTGAATCCCACCCACAGGCCTTTGGGGACTTAACTTCTCTGCCCATGGTGTCATTCAGAACAGCTCTGATTGGCTGCGGTGCAGTTCGTGTAAACAGTCGGCACACCACAGCCAGATTTCTCCTGCTCCATGACCTCTTGCTTTTCTAGGTACGGCATGTTTTGAGGGAACAATTTTGTTTCCATAGAAATAAATGTTTAATATTCCATTTAGGCTCATGGAGACCTGGATATAACAATATGCAAGAATATATTCAGATCTGTCTGTCTAAAGTGTGATGCCACTTTGAAATGGAGCATTTTTAATTTAATTTGCTTGGAACACTTGCCTCATCTTTGGTGATAAAGCATCTAATGAGGAAAAGAAGAATAAATATGTTTATATTCTTGTAAGCCAGTGGCCTGTGGTCACCTGGGGGTTAAAATTTACTTTGAAATTATCAGGAATTACCTTACAATTTAGAATGAAGTTTGAAGTTAATTTTACATAACTAAACTTTAAAACAGTTAAACCAGAAATGATGTAACCTGGAAAGGCCTACCTTAATATCTAGACAAGCAACAGGCAGCAAATATAGTTAAACTGTAAGTATGATTCAGAATCAACTGGTTTGGTTTTTTATCGCTACTATAAGCATTGGTCCTTTAATGAGAGCACAGTGTATCTCATGGCCTAGTTTTAATTGTTATACTGTACAATTTAAAAGATCCATCGACAGTTTGACATTTTCAAATGATTTTTGACAACGACACCATCCACTACCTTGACCTTTTACAAATTGGATCATAAAATGTTTACTGCACAATAAAGCACAACTCACTGAGTTTACCTTTACTAGCTAAAGCAATATTTTAATTGAAAGGTACATGTAGATAACAAAAGAGGTTTTTTAATGTTCCAAATGGTGTATTTTCCCCCCCAAACTATTTAAATAGTTAGCTCCAGCTAAACCGACAGTAATCTGAAGAGGTATAGGGAAAAATAAAGACAAATATTAGACTACCATGCAGTGGAAAACAGAAGTAAAACTTGGCGTGTTGGCAGGACAGGCAGTGTTTGGCCTGCGTTCAGTGTGTACCAATCAGGGTCTGCCGTTTCCTAGCTAATGAAGGTTGTGGTTTTTTATGAGCTTTGTCTGTGATTAGGGCCAGCTATCTCTGGTCTGCAGCAAATAGTTCCCCGAAGAGCTAAAACTAAAGAAAACATTCTGAGGTAGATTTTATGTCTTCAAGCCATTTGAGTCTTTATTTTCATTTTTGAAGTTTTCATTTGACACCGCACGGGTCAAGCAGTTAGCATGTTAAATATTCACCATCCCCGCAGACAAGGTGATTCTCATTACATTTACTTTTTTGACCCACCGAAACCAAAAATCTGCTAATATGTTGGAAAACGAAAATGCTTCTGTGTGTGCTTAAAAATAGAAAAATCTGATTTAATAAATGTCTGTCTCTGTAGATAATCGTTAAAATTCATAATTTAGGCATCATAATCAAATTTCAGTTAATTTAAATTATGATGAGGAAAATAAGAAATTGGCAGCCTAAGCAAATCTGATTTTCATATAACATTTGTAGTGTAACTGGTAATATGTTTAAAGTAGAAGGTTTATCTTTAAAAGCTTTTCCAGCATTCAAGATGGTACTTTGCTAAGATTAACTCATATTTCTTATTTTAGTGGCCATTATCTGACAAGATAACACAGTAACTTAGATGTATACTTCCCAAACTACAGCCTTAATGGCTTTCTTCATCACATCCAGATTTACTTGTAGCAACATGTTTCCAATGTCTAGTGGTAACACCACATATGTCATGAAAAAAACAACAAAATGCAATTTCTTTTTTTTTTCTTTTTTAGTTAAGAATGTCGATTGCACTTCGGAATTCGAGGAGTTTTTTGCCAAACGGAAGCTGGGAGAAGGAGAGAGCCATGTGGTCAGTATTGCGGAGTACCTACAACGGGGTGACACTGCCATTATTTACCCAGAAGCCCCGGAGGAGGTGTCCCGCCTTGGTACACCGGAGGCCAATGGACAGGAAGAAAATGGTAAGAATTTTAAAGCACAGATACAGCAGGCACTCCATGACACAGGCAGCTGTTGTCATTATGAATTCACTGAATGCCTCAGTGTTTACCTTCAGACTTGAAGAACAGCTGTTGAGGCCTGAAATCAGATAGCTCACCTCAGACTCTCAGAGGGAAAAAAATGTGTATATATGATACAAGGCTTTTGATGCATACTTTCTAAATGATGAAAGTACAATACAGAATGTCATTTAATAAATGGACCCAAGACATTTAGGAGAGGGGTGTTAAAAAGTATATCTGATTGTTAAAGTTCATTACTCGAAGTGGTTATAGAGATATTTTAAAGAATGGCAGGTCAGGATTAAAAAGCTACAGTGTTATTTAAATTTTGACAAGTGTGAAAGCAATATCCATAAGGCATTTGGCCTTGGGAGGAACAAGTGATGACATGGATAAAGAAGATTTTAATGGAAAAAATTGTCATAAAACAGAGACCATTTTAGAAGATGGGTTAACAAAAGGTTTTAGATGAGGTTGAAGAGCAACCGTACAAAATCTAATGCAGAAATAGAAAAGAGTTTTTGTGTTGTAGACTGCTTTAATGATGAAAAAATAACCACTCTTAAGATGTGTAGAAATAAATGTTGTGAGGATGTCAGAATACAGACATTCGAAACCATCTAGCTTGAAGATACCTATTCCATCTGCGTACAGGAGGCACTGACTTACTCCACTTCTAATTCTGACATAACATCACGGCCACGTGCCCAGGACTGTTTGCAAGTTCACTGCACTGTCGTTGCCACTCTTTCCACACGGCTGAAGTCCCAAAGGCCCCGAGACAAATTTGTTTTTCCATTATTTAACGAGTGTGCAGTGCAAAACCTTACAGAGAGATGACTTTCCATTTCGAATTGCAGGCAAGCAGTGAGCATTTCTGCAGACATGATAAACTGGAGGCTTAATTGATTGTGCTGACACAGGCTGGCCGAGGTGATGTGCGCTGACTAGTCCAGGGTGTGTACGGTGTTGGGGGGGGGCGCGGATGCCAGCTTGAGATGATGGCACTCCACAGAGCAGATTGCAGAGATACCTCCCATTCCACTCTGGGCAGCACGCCCATTAGCTGCCATTGATTCGCTGACCCTTTGGCCTGTTTTCTCTCCCCCTCCCCCCCCTCCTCCATCCACCCTGTGCAGACCTGCCACCTGGAACTCCAGATGCTTTCGCCCAACTGCTGACCTGCCCCTATTGCGACCGGGGCTACAAGCGCTTGACATCACTCAAGGAGCACATCAAGTACCGCCATGAGAAGAACGAGGAGAACTTCGCCTGCCCCCTGTGCAACTACACGTTCGCCTACCGCACCCAGCTTGAGCGGCATATGGCCACACACAAGCCGGGGAGAGATCAGGTGAGGATCACATGCCTCTTGTTCTGTTTTAGATATTTTTTTCTAATGTGCAATAACCCCTTGGAGAAAAGATATCATTTTGATTGGCAATCATTATTAATTTTTCATGGCATTTTGAAGATGCAGATCTTTTAATGGTAATAGCTTTAATTGAGGCCTAAATGGTTTTTTGATGGCCTTCCCTGATATGATTTAGCAGTCTTATGTTCACGATCGAATGATTGTGTTAATTTCCAATTTAGAAATTTTATCTGCTCTTTAACTTCACTTTACTTTAAGCTTTTATGTTCCTTAAATTCAGACGAAAAACAGCTTCTTCTTAACTGTACCTTATTATGCATTCCCATTTATTAGATGTACTTGCGTAAATGCAGAAGCTTTGCATTTTAGAACACTTCCTGAGCCTTCAAACTCTGTTAATATCACCGCTGTCACGATCGTGATTTTTCAGCAAGAACATATAAACTGAAAGTATGTCTTATATATACTGTGTATAGTACAATATATAAAGTACTAGACATCAAGCTGATGTGATATTTACCCCCCCCCCTTTCATAAAATGGAAAAAAACAGTATGTGCCAGAAATGGTTAACAATAAGACAAGGAGCTAAAGCAGGTAATTTCAGACACTGGGTTTTTCTTTCTCACATGAAAACACTTATCCTGAAATAAAAATTACTGAACCATCCCTATTCAGCACTGGCTTATTCCCCAGAGAAATTTGCAAGAAACCGATATTGATATATAAAATGATAGCATTATTATAAATTACTTATTTAAACATTTGATATGCCATTTGTGTAGTATGCAACATTTTCTGAATTTAGCTGTGAAGATGTTTTTTTTTTCAACATCACAGACTAAACAGATAGCAGAAATGCATTTTCACCTGGTCTAGCCTAATTTAAGGTGCAAATTGCCTAGTTTATATTCTAATGTTGTAATATGCTAAGTCTTTTCAAGTAGCATTATGGCTATAGATCAATCAAAAGTTGTCATTCTGCAACAGTGAAGCTTTATAATGGCTATGGAGGCATCATAGCTGTGCCACCATAGCTTTATGAACAATACATATAAAATATAAAATCCATGTTTATAGACCATTTGAAAAAACTCTCTTTCTACGGCCTTTGGCTGACAATGTTGTGAGACTCGTGTTTATCATACCTACAGTTTTAAGGGGGCCTGAAATTCTGTTATTGGACTTAGAAAGACTAAAAGTCTTGGGAGCTTGTATCTCTAAGCAATTGCTAACTCTGCGCTACTCATGTGACAATATGTGTGACAGTCCCATGGTTTGGCAGTTCCTCATTTAAAATGTCTTCTCTGAGTTTCCTGTTATTTTGGAGGTGATCCGATGAGGGCTCCTAAAGGCTGGTGTGTGCTTATACAGTATGTATCTTGGTATGGTTCTGATTAATAATTTAATGTATGAAAGTAAAATATTAATTACAGATTAGTAATATATATTTTTTTAAGTATGATATCTTGGTCTGTTAGAGTAAGATCACATTTGTGACTGGACAGTAGAAATTATTTAAGACCTTTACAAAGCATTTTATAAAGATAGTCATCATTATTAATTTTTTAAAAATATTCTAATAATAATAATCTGTTTTATTATTTGATTTAAACGAATCTATGTTTAGAAAACTGGATTTCTTCCTGAAAATGGTCCATAAAAATAGCTCACTAAGTAGTTGTCAAAAATGTGCTCCGTTACTGTAAGAAATGATGTGAACCACTTCTCCAGGGCACTGGTGTTCTCTCTGTCACCAGCTCAGGGCAGTAGTCTGGGGTGTACAGGAAGTGAAACAAGGGCTGTCAAGTCATGCCCAGTTCTGACAGAGTTACAGACTTGCTAGAGAAAGTAGTCACTGTCAGGGCAACCCGGGGTTTGTGCCTTTGCGTGTCCACTCCACCCTGACATCTCGGTTTCGCTGATGCCCCTCTCTGGGGCGTCTGCTGTTCTTGACCGCGCCAGGAAGCTCCTCTCTCCCTCCACCCTCACGGCCCACACATCACCCAGAATGCACAGCTCCTGACAGAGCTGGAAACCCAGGCCTTCACCTGAGTGTCCATGTGGTGTATGTGATCTGCTGATCAGGGATCCAGCCTCCACCTGGGTTGGGAGGTCCAGCAAGGACGCTGTTTTAACGGGAAAGACTTACGCTTTGTTGCCCTTTTTTTATTTGTCTGTGTCTTCATCGTAAGCTCACTTAATTACATCTACGGGAAAATTGTATTTATCAAGCCCTTAATAAATTGCAAAAATTGCCTCCACTTTGAATTTTTACTCAATAAAAGCATCACGGAAAACAAACTCATAAACGGGGGGATAGATAAAAGTCTAGATTCATTACCACCAATAAGACAAACAGTAATATTCGGCTACGTCTTCTGCATTCGTAACATCCCCTTTGTAGCACTCAGTTATGAAGAGTAGATTCGGCGTTGAACAATCCCCTCATTTGCTCCTGGCATTTACAATTAGTAAATGAAAATGATTGTATCATATTAACAGTGGCACAACTAAAGTTTACAGTGGTCCTCTGAGGGAAGTGGGGGGAGACAAAGCAGCTGTTGCTGTTTGTTTATGCAACTCAGCAACATATGAGCAGCGGTCCCTCATTGGCGCTTGGTGGGCCGGCTTCTGCCTGATCTTTGAAGGTTGCTGCTGTTTGAACAAACCTCCCTGTGTCCTGTGTAACACCATCTGTCTCACCAGGAATGTGGGAAGAGTCAGCACACCCCAGCAGTTGTTAGCCTGAATCAGGGGCTGTTTCTGTGCAAAGAGATCTTTGTGTTTCCTAACCGTTTACCACTCTCACCTCCCGCCTCAAATAATCCGGCTGGTGCATATTATTACTCGTATTGTTGCTATTATTATTACTACTACAGCTCATTTAAATTTAAAACGGGTTGTTTGCAGCCTTTAGAGCCTTTATAGGTTTATTTCACAAGTCCAGTAATCGATTGTAGTCTTAGCTCACATACATCTGACTTCAGCAGACTAAACCCTTTTCTGCTGCTGGGGTCACAGTTAACAGTGTGGGTTTTTAAACGAGCCAATACTGATATTTCAGATATTATTCCAAATTAATAAAAAAAAAGACAGATCAGTTTGTTGATTTTAATGATTTTTCGTTTTGAAACGTGGAACGCTTCTGAAAGGGGCCTTTTCTTTTCTTTTTTTTTCCTTGCCAAATTCTAAAGACACATTTCCCTCGCTTACTAGCCAGGAAATTAAAAGGTTTGTGATTCACTCTGTTATCATTTCCTCACTTGTACTGCTCGTTGGTGTTGGAAGAGGAGAGGCGAGATGGTCTGTAGTAATGCAGGCCATTTGGCTTGTCTGCAGCAGTTGATTGTGATTGTTTACTGAACTCTCTCTCTGAAATGTTTGTGTAAAGCTCATGTAAATACCTTCTCTTCTACAGCACCAACTGCTGAACCAGGGAGCTGGCAATCGCAAGTTCAAATGCACAGAATGTGGCAAGGCCTTCAAATACAAACACCATCTGAAGGAACACCTGCGGATTCACAGTGGTGGGTAGCAGGGGTGCTCATGCACTCTCTTTGAATATTCATTACCTTGATTTCAGATTGTTCTGAAGTTCATAGAACTTATAGATTCGATTTTGCTTTACTCCCTCCGTCAATGAATGACTCACATTTATTTAGTAGAATACTCACATATGCTGCTTGACACAAAAAAAAAAATCCTGAAACTGAATGTTATTAATAAATCCAGGAAAAACCATTACAACAGTAAAATGTGAAACTATTTGTGAACGTTAGGCTGTGTTTGAAAATGTTTTCCTAAATACTGCTTCCATTATTACAAATAATTGTTCCTGTTATTAATAGTGATGCTACAGCTAGAGATTGTAGGTGTTGGAATAGAAATAGCACTAAGCGTTGTCATGGTATTAATGGAAAACCAGAAGAATGGGCCTCTTGCCGAGGATTCCTGGAATGAAAGGTTATGAACGAAACCCTGTTTCCTTCCTTCAGGTGAAAAGCCCTACGAATGCCCGAACTGCAAGAAGCGCTTCTCCCACTCCGGCTCCTACAGCTCCCACATCAGCAGCAAGAAGTGTATCGGCCTCATCGCGGTGAACGGGAGGATGCGGACCAGCGTCAAAACGGGCTCCTCGCCGACATCGGCGTCCTCCTCCCCCACCAACACCGCCATCACCCAGCTCCGGCACAAGCTGGAGAACGGCAAGCCCCTCAGCCTGCCCGAGCAGCCGGGCCTTCTGAAAATCAAAACAGAGCCACTCGACTTCAACGACTACAAGCTCATGATGTCCTCTCATGGCTTCGGCGGGCCCGGCCCCTTCATGAATGGAGGAATGGGGGCCGCCAGTCCGCTGGGGGTGCACCCCGCATCTCAAAGTCCGATGCAGCATCTAGGGGTGGGAATGGATTCTCAACTACTGGGCTACCCTACCATGGGAAGCAATTTGAGCGAAGTGCAGAAGGTCCTCCAAATTGTTGACAACACTGTATGCAGGCAGAAAATGGACTGCAAACCCGACGAAATCTCAAAACTTAAAGGTTACATGAAGGAGCTTGGGTCTCAAAACGAGGAACAAGGACAAGGAGTGACCTCCCCTGGTGCTCCCCCAGGTGGTCTTCCAGTCGTCAGCCACAATGGTGCCACTAAAAGTATTATTGACTACACGCTAGAAAAGGTGAACGAAGCCAAAGCCTGCCTCCAGAGCTTGACCACGGACTCAAAAAGACAAATTAGCAATATTAAAAAGGAAAAAACGAATCACATATTAGACCTAGGTACTGAAGATAAAATGCATGACAATATTCTGTTTACACCTTTCTCCTGCCAGTACTGCAAGGAGACCTTCCCAGGTCCAATTCCCCTCCATCAGCACGAGCGCTACCTGTGTAAAATGAACGAGGAAATAAAGGCGGTCCTACAACCCAATGAGAACATAACTCCAAACAAACCAGGGGTGTTTGGAGAGAAACATGCACTCCTGCTTTCTTCCATGCTCTCTGAGAAAGGAGTGACGAGCCCCATCAACCCTTACAAGGAGCACATGTCTGTGCTCAAAGCGTACTTTGCCATGAACATGGAACCTAATTCAGAGGAACTACTGAAGATTTCCATAGCTGTTGGCCTTCCTCAGGAATTTGTGAAAGAGTGGTTTGAACAACGAAAAGTCTACCAATACGGCAATTCCAGAACACCACCACTAGAACGGAACAATGTGGAGGTGGCGCTGGCTGCCACCAACACTCCAGCTAAAGACACAGTGCCAGCCAGGTCTCCAGTGTGCTTGATAAAGCCCATGGACCGCATGACTTCCCCCTCCATAGCAGAACTCCACAACAATGTTAACAATTGTGACACTCCTCTCAGGCTTACAAAACAGACCCAGTACACTGTTGGCAAGCAACCTGGTGAAAAATTGGACCACTCGAGGAGCAATACTCCTTCTCCTTTAAATCTTTCCTCCACATCTTCTAAAAACTCCCACAGTAGCTCATACACTCCAAACAGCTTCACTTCAGAAGATCTCCAGGCAGAGCCATTGGACTTGTCTTTGCCCAAACAAGTGAAGGAACCTAAGAACATTGTAACTGTAAAAAGCAAACCCAAACTTAACAACGTTAACATTGACCACAACAGTGTTTCTTCTCCATCTGAGCACTCAGAGGAGCCTTTGAACTTGGCCTATTTAAAGAAAGAGTTCTGTGGTTCCAATAACAGTCTTGACAAAAGCACTAATCCGATGTTCAGTATTAACCCCTTTGGTGCCAAACCCTTGTACACATCTCTTCCACCACAAAGCGCATTTCCCCCAGCCACTTTCATGCCTCCTGTTCAGACAGGCATCCCAGGGCTGAGGCCATACCCAGGGCTGGATCAAATGAGCTTCCTGCCACACATGGCCTACACTTATGCAACAGGAGCAGCCACTTTTGCTGAAATGCAGCAAAGGAGAAAATACCAGCGGAAACAAGGTTTCCAGGTAAATAGGCGGTGAGCTCTTTGCACCGTGATCAGGGTGAAAAAACATTGCACATTCAGCTGCTAATTAGAAGCCTCTCTGCTCCCAAAGTACTGAATTCAAGCTCGATCTAAAAAAAAAAGCTTGCTCACCTGCAGCACACGAAACCAGCAAAGCAGAATAGATAAACAGATGTTGTATAAATGTAGAATGGTTTAATTCCTCTGTATGCTTCATTAGAGGTATCACCATATAATGAGTGTTTTAGAGGTTATAATGTGAGATTCAGGTGTTGCCAGACACCACAGTGTATTGTCTCTGCACAAAAGTGCAAACAGCATTGCATTGCCAGCTGTTCTATCTCTTCCATTTTAACAGTACATCTGCCCTCTTTCTAAATGTGTTTCGGCCAATTTGATTTTTCTCAGGTATTAATTAGTGAAAACTCTGTGTGAGTCAAATGTAGTGTCTGCATAAAAGCAAAGGTGTGCTTGCTTGCTGAGATGTGTAGCTGACTGACTTATGTCTTTGGCACATGTTTTTAGAACAAGCCAAAATGAGTTTCAACATGCAGATTAATAATGCACAGCTCCATGTTCATTACCGTTGAATGCTGAAGGCTGTTTAACATAGAAGGAACCATTTTGATAAAAAGTATTAATAATGTTTCCTATTCTAAGTTATTAAATTAGATTTAAAAAAATACAGCTACAGGCATTTAGCTCAAATTGATTGCAGAACGATAGTGCTCTGTTCTTAAAACCAGTGTAGCAATGTCCTCAAAATCATTGCGAGGCCAGAGCAAGCAGTCCTAATGAGGGCAGTGGTGCCGCTCCATTTTGGCCATTTAGCACACCTCTTGATTTAATCATTATGAGTTAGAAATGAGAAGACTGTGGCAATATGCCCTGCAAAGTCTTTCGCTTATTATTATGACCTTCTAATGTAATCATATTTTTTTCCCATTAATTTAAGTTAGCCTATCGGGTTAATCTTCCCATGAAAGAAGAACAGATAAATATAGAATTAATACTCTTTCAAGTATAAAATTAAGAAGAATTTGAATGCAAATATGTGGCGTGCAGGCACATGCAATGATACTCAGAGTCAGGCTTCACTGGGAGGTAGTAGTAGGACGGGGGGTATTGTTGTTATCCAAGCATTTGCATATCTGCCTTTTTTGGTTTGTGTCGGTATCATAGCTTTCTTTTCATGTTTTTCGGAGTTCTTATTACAATTAGATCAGCGCTTAATTAAAAGCACGCGTCATGTCTCCTAGGAGTCTCCAGAAGAAAGTTTGTGAGCAGGTTACAATAAGTCTGTATTAAAGCCCTGAATGAAACACCAGAAGGTGACTATATTTAGGTGACAGGTGTGGATTGAAGAAATCTGGTTATCTTATAGGGGGAGCTGCTTGACGGAACAACAGATTATATGTCAGGCCTGGATGACATGACAGACTCAGACTCCTGTCTGTCCCGGAAGAAGATTAAGAAGACAGAAAGTGGTATGTACGCGTGTGACTTGTGCGACAAAACATTCCAGAAGAGCAGTTCCCTCCTAAGACACAAATATGAGCACACAGGTATATACTGTTCCAGACACTTACTTTACCTGATGACTTTTCATGTTTTGTGTTACTAAACCCTTAATTTTTTTATTCTTTGTTATTGTTTTTGTTTTTGTTTTTTTACAGAAGCGCGGCTGAATTATGTTTTATTTTGGTACAAAAACATAACGTTTCCTTTCTTTTAACAGGCATCAGCAGATTTTTTTTTTACTTTCTTTTGAGAAACACTTCAAAAACAGTTTTTATATTCTACGGTGAATAGAATAGTTTTCTTGAAAATATGATATGTAAAAGGTTGATGCTGTGAAATGTATCTTACCTACATTTATGGTAGATTGTATACAAAGATTAAAAATATTGTGCAGTGTTGTAACAATGGGAAAAATAGTTTTCAGTTCAGTGCACTAAATTTACTATATGGCATTTGGATCAGTCCCAGCAGGCAGTGTATTACAAGATAATAAAATTTTAACTTGCCTAAATTTTCTTGAGCCAGTCCTCCTTGAAGTGGTTCTTTAAGGTCAAGCTAATGTGTGGTTTGGCAGGAGACCACTTTGGTGGATGATCTGTGTGCAGATTTCCTCAAGAGACTGTAAAGAAGGAAATTTGAAAATGAAATGATTTACACAATGTACCTGACTTCAGTTCAGTGTGCTAACACTTTGGTGAACTACTATTTAATATTGAACTGGCAACAGGTTTATTATTGCAGAAGTTATTTTCTGTCCAAAAATGTACTAAGACTCCTTTGAATTTCTTTTTCTTTTATAAAAAGGTTTCTTTCATACAAACGTTATATAAAAAATAATGGACAATGAGGCAGCATAATTAAATGTATTTTTAATTCAGCATAAGGATTAATCTATTGATGATCATCATGCCTGCATAACAAATTCAGGTGTAATGCATCGAGCCTTTTGAATTCGGTTGTAGTCTTACAGAAAGATAAGACCTTTTTTCGGTTTGTCTCTTTCATTCAATTGCATCATCTTTTGCATTCCTTCACTGTATTATGTACCGTTCCATGGCAGAGAAAGGAATTTGCTGTCTTGTCTATTTTTGAAATGGGTTTCAAGCAAGGCAGCTATGGAAGGTGTCGAAGGCATTCCAGTGCTATTTGTGGCCAGGAATTGGCCAGATGTGTCAGAGCTTGGCAAGGGCTGTAGGTTCCATGCCCTATCACAGGCTGACTGAAATGCCAAAGGAGAAACTCCATTCTGTGATTTGTGTTAAATAGATGGCGATATTTCCGGAAGCACTGAGCAAGTAGTAAATCTGACAGGTGTACAGTCCTGGTCCAGATATGTGCATTAGTAGAACCAGTGCCGTGATGAATGATGCTTGTATTTAGCAGGTTATTCTGTAACTGTGATGCAGTGAAATAAGACTCTTATCAATGCCAGAAACATAGGTTACAAGCTGTGTGTTGTAGCACTGTAAACAAATGATTGCATGTGGTGAACTAGGGTGGGAAGTCCCAAGATAATGACTAATCCCTAGTCATTTTAAAATATTAAACTTTTAAAAATGATTATGCCAGTATTGTTTCTAACATTACAAAACGTGCTGGTCTGCAATAGAGACATCCAAAAGTAATGAGTTATTTGATGTCATCTGTTGCTTTCTTTCCACAGCTGTTTTTTAAAATTATTTGTTTACCTGCTTGTTTTGGTTATAGTTCAGTGATATGCTTAAGTTATGATATTAATGCCTAAAAGAAATCTATTTTCCTCTAGTACTCAAATGTCATTAAGAAAAAGTGTTCTTCCTAGAAAGCAGGTGTGCATTTCTTTAAAAATAAAATGGACGTTAATGCTTTGAACAACGGAGAAATGTTTGTTTTTTACCTTTTTAATTTTCATGTATCGATTTGGAAAATGAAATGGTTTAACTTTGCATGTGTCAATGTTTTTGTTCATGTGTGCAACCCATGTAACCAATTTGCTGTTGTTTTGTGTCTTTGTAAATTGTTATTGTTCTAACAAAGCATAAACTGTTATAAATGGCGTGGCGGTGTGAGCAACGTTTGTAACCTGCCTTCTTTTTCTCCCTTTCGCCTTTTGTGTCTCTCCAGGCAAACGGCCGCATCAGTGTCAAATCTGCAAGAAGGCGTTTAAACACAAGCACCACCTGATTGAACACTCACGGCTGCACTCGGGCGAGAAGCCCTACCAGTGCGACAAGTGTGGCAAGCGCTTCTCACACTCGGGGTCGTACTCGCAGCACATGAACCACCGCTACTCCTATTGCAAGAGGGAGGCGGAGGAGCGCGAGGCGGCCGAGAGGGAGGCCCGGGAGAAGGGCCACCTGGAGCCCACGGAGCTGCTGATGAACCGGGCGTACTTGCAGAGCATCACCCCGCAGGGCTACTCCGACTCGGAGGAGCGCGACGGGGTGCTGAGGGACGGGGACGAGGGCGCGAGGGAGAGGGCGAAAGAGGTGGAGGGCGGCTACGTGAAGATAGGTCGGCAGGACGAGGAGTTCGAGGAGGAGGAAGAGGAAAGTGAGAATAAGAGTATGGACACCGATCCGGACACGTTAAGAGACGAGGAGGAGAACGGAGAGCACTCGATGGACGATAGTTCGGTGGACGGGAAAACAGAAACCAAATCAGATCACGAGGAGGACAATATGGAAGATGGCATGTGATAAACTACTGCATTCTAAGCTTCCTATGTTTTTTTCCAGTAGTATTGTTACCTGCTTGATTTAAACAAACACACTGCTGTGTTAAGCTGTACATGCACGTGCCTGATGCTTCCAGGAAGCTTGTGTGGTTGGACTGGAGAGGAGGGAGGCGACTCTGCCGACAGGGACAGCGA